CAGTTCCATACAGACATTATTTTATATAGTTGCCTGGCATGCAATATCCACAGTTCAAGGTTACAGAAGTAAGGTAGCACATTCAGTTGTTCATTTTCAGATGCACATCCATCTGCCCCTGGTAAAAAAAGGACAGTAGTACTTCTTTGTTTGAACAGTCAGTTGTGCATTTCACTGACCATTCAGATGCTCATTTAAATGTTCATCCTGCTCTGCATTAGTTTGAACTTTCAGTTGTGTCATTCAGCAAGATGGTTGCTCAAAACACTTGAGCAGTATTCTCACCAGTGAATTTTTATAATATGAATTCCATGTGTAGCCTCTGTCCTACCTCAGGATTTGGGAATATATGCTCTCTCCCTTTTTCCTCCTCTCACAAGAGTCATGTAACTGTAATGATGTCTGAATTTTCCATCAAAGCTGAACCATTGACTTCTGCTATAATAGTAGTATAGCTAGTAGCAGAGGTCATTAGACGTGTGTGGATTTCATTTCCTCCATTTCCTTTGGTACATTTGGTACTTCAAAAGTTCGTAACGGTAAAGCCCCCCCTGGTACAAAAACCTGCCCAACACGAAAGCAAGTGGGAGTCTATCTTGGCTCCTCCTCCCCTATTTTGCATCACAGTTGAATCTTTTTGATTTTCCTTTTTTTCCTAATTCTTTTTATTTAGTGGGACTAACTGGAAGTTGGGGACCTGAGGGATGATGGGTGGGGTGCATGCCCTTTTAGCTTATTTTTTCTTTCTCCTCCTCTTCTTCAGTAAATACTTCTAAACGAAGCCCCGCTTGCTTTCATGTTAGGCAGGTTTTTGTACCAGAAGGGCCCTTACTATCACAATCTCCCAAAATACCGAAGGTACCAAAAGAAACTGAGGAAACAGAGGAAACAAAATCTACATACACATCTATTCCCTATGTGGTCAGTAGTTTCCTTGATGTATGTTAAGAACACATTTCCTCTAGGTGGATCTTTGTCTTTCCTCTTGTGGCTTCTTCTTAGTCTTGCAGCTCTTCTGATGTCTGTATTAGAATACCTATTAGCCTGTAGTGCCCAGTTTAGGTGGTTCAGTTCTCCTTGGATAAGGTAGGATTCGCAGATCCAGTTTGCACAGTCTGCCAGGGCTTTAATTGTGCTTCTTTTTGTCCTGGGTGATGGTTGGAGTTTTTGATGTAGATAACTATCAGTGTGTGTGGGTTTCTATACACTGTGTGGTCCAATTGTTGGTTTGTGGATGCCTAGGACATCTAGAAATGGTAATTTTCTTTTGTTTCTGGCCATGAAACACACTCACACTGATAGATACCTACATTAAAAACTCCAATACATTTATTAATGCTTATAACATAGGGCAGTCATTATATAAATGCAATATAAAGGTACAGCAATATAAAATATAAATCAATATAAAGTACTACATAAAGTAATTGGCATATTGATCTTGCAAATTTAAATTCAATACAATTAAAATATAATACCAAAATTTAGATTACATAAAATCAGATTAGATAAAAGCATCCCCAGAGGAATCGACTGCAAAATCAGAAATAAAGCTTCACAAATATTAAATGCTGCTACAATCAGCATCATACAGGTAACAGAAAAAAAATGACACATTTTTGGAATGTAGATAGAACAGAACGGATTCCAAGAATTTGGTTCTTGATTTTGAATATAATGAGCATGAGAGCAAATAATGTTGCAAATTATCAAAGTTTGGTGTTCTAAAATCACATAAGCAGAGGGTCAGAGAGGTATAAAAATATCTGCCATAGGTAATGGATATAGTTACAGACAGACTTTCTCAGAGATGTTTCTAGCTAGGACAGATTTGGTAGCCACACAGTAGATCACAGCAGCCATTCCCCTAATCTAGTTTACAGCTCCTTTCAAAGCACTTTGCTGACATCAAGCTGGATTCCATTATCTATATCTGAGATCAATAAAAGTAAATTATTCAGGTCTTAGCCTCTGCACTAATATGGCGTGTACTTCTATGTCAGGTACATGTTGCTACGGAACAGAAAAGAAACGTAAAGTGAAAATCAACGAGTACAAGTTCTTTTCCTTCCAGTATTTTTTTGAGATTGTGATCTTGTAAATTAATTACAACCCATGAAGTGTCAACAACAGAAAATGGATCCATACTTTTGGAGTGGAATCATATATTATGGTGGCCCACCTTCTTCTCCCTGCAGGTCCCTGCAGAAGTAGCAGTAGCACTGATGAGAGCAGAACTTGGAAGTGTTACTTTTGAAACAAGGATGATGACTAGAACACAGGTGACAGAAAACTCAACTTTTATGTGACAAGACATAGTATAGAGGACACCTCTGCTTCTATAAGGTGGCAATACATGCCGTAAAGAAAGCTTTCTTCTCTGCCTGCATTGTGTCTGTGGATTCATGTCCAGCTGAGCTGTTCAGAGTTGTGAGAGGCTTAACCCAGGGGCCCTCCCCTCCAAACCCAGTGCTAGAACCTTCAGTAGCTTGCTGTGATGTTTTTAACAACCATTTTGCAGATAAAATCTCTCACATAAGAGCTGACTTAGATGTTGTCATTGGAGCAGAGGCTAACACTGAGGTGTCCAGCATCTCTGTGAGTGGGATCACATTGGATCAATTTCAATTGGTAAGGACTGTTGACATGGACAAGCTGCTAATGCATGTAAAAAGGGAAACTTGCCTTCTTGATCCCTAGCCCTCTTGGCTGGTTATCCAGGGAGGAGATTCAATTCGATCTCAAGTACAACAAATTATTAATGCATCTCTCAGGGAGGGGAATTTTCCATCCTGTTTAAAAGAAGCAGTAGTTACACAGCTGCTGAAAGAGCCCTCTCTGGATTCCCTTGACCTTAATAATTACATACCAGTGGCTAACCCTTTTTTGGGCAAGATGATTGAGATGACAGTTGCCCTCCAACCTCAGGCAGTCTTGGATGACACACTCTTCCTTGACCCATTTCAAACTGGCTTCAGAGCTGGATATGGAGATGAGACTACTATGGTCACCTTAGTATATGATCTCCATCTCAACACTGACAGGAAGAGCATGTCAGTGTTGGTGCTTCTAGGCCTCTCAGCAGCTTTTGATACCATTGACTATGGTATCCTTCTGGAATGCCTGGAGGGGGTTGGGAATTGGAGGCATTGTGCTGCAGTGTTTCCAGTCATGTCTCAGGCAGGCTCCAGATGGTGGTACTTTTGAATAGCTGCTCCTCAAAAAGAAGCTGCTATGGGGTAAAAGGTACCATTCTATCCCCAATGCTTTTTAATATTTACATAAAACTGCTGGGAGAGATCATCCATAGGCATGGGGCAGGGGGTTATCAGTATGCTTATGACACCCAAATATACGTATTACTCCATGCCTTCAAAAGCAGCTACAGCTAAGGGTTGTGTGTCTCCTCTGAATGAATGCCTGGAGGAGGTAATGGGCTGGATGAGGAAAAACGAATGGAAACTGAATCCAGACAAAACAGAGGTGCCTGCCATCAAGGGTCCTAATCTGGAGATGGAGGTGTGTCACCCAGTTCTGGATAGGGTTACACTCCCCTGAAAAACAGTATTTGCAGCTTGGGAGTGCTCCTGGCAACCCAGGTAGATGTGACGGTCAGGAGTGCTCACTAACAGCTTTAGCTGATATGCCAACTGTGCCCCTTCCTAGATTTGAAGGACCTAAAGATGGTAGTGCATGCACTGGTAACCTCAAGGTTGGACTTCTGCAATGCACTTTACATTAGGCTGCTTTTGTACCAAGTTCAGAAACTTAAGTTGGTTCAAAATACAGCAGCCAGATTGGTTACAGGAACATCTAGGAGTGAACAAATTATACCCATGCTAAAGTGATGCAATTGACTGCCAATTAGTTTTCCAGGCAAAGTACAAAATGTTGGTCTTGACCTTTAAAGCTGTACATGGCTCAGGTCTAGGTTACCTACAGGATTTCCTTTTCCTGTACAGTCCCACCTGAACACCTACCATATTTACTTGAATGTAATGTGCATCTTTTTCACCTTAATTATTTAGCCAAAATGGAGATGTGCATTACATTCAATGGCACATTACAATTGCACCTCAAAAGGTACCTGTGCCCCTGTATCAGGCTGATGCCCCTCTGCCCCAGCCTCAGCCTGATGATGTAGCAGCAATTACCCATCTTAGTTACATATATTTTACACTTCTATAACATGCATACAGCATTCAGGAAGCCCGCCACTGACTGGATAGAATTCAGGGAGCATCTACACTGTAGAATTAATGCAGTTTGATTGCACTCTAACTGCTATGGTTGAATGCTATGGAATCTTAGGAGCTGAAGGTCTTTAGCCTTCTCTGCAAAACAATGTTGGTGCTTCTCCAAGCTACAAATCCCAGGATTCCAAAGTAGAAGTGCAGGAAGGAAGGTTTATGAAATTGTACGGAAATACAATTATAGGACCATGGCTGGTGACTCTGCACATCTACATGAGTGAAGAGAGGTGCAATATCTAGTGTTGGAATGTCTATCCACAATCCATAATAGTATGACTAGCTTTCTGCTATAAAATCCTGGATGTCAATATGAATTCTTCTTAGTCTTACAATTTAGAAGCCTTTCTCTCAAATGAAATAGCATTTTTTTTCTTCTTTTAATGGGAGTGAAAAAATGAGGAAATAAAACCACCAGGCAGAGAATGGAAAGCCCTTTGATTAGCTACTTTACATCTGTATGTAGCAATGTTTAGTGGTTGTAGTAGTCGTCATATTTTTTTTATATGTTAGGAAACTGTATTTCTACTTTTTTGTCTTTGTATTTAGTCCTATGGTTTGTATTCTTGCTTTTTATGTCTGTATGTAGAATTTGTATTAGTTTTTCCCTGGAAAACAAATATATAGATACACCCACACACACACACACATACACATACATATCTCATTTGCCATTTTGATGACACCTGTCCTAATTTTTATCCATAAAATGTTTGAGGTATGAAAAGCTACATTTTTACCATATCTCACCTCCTTTTCTGTCCAGGACCGTAACCTAAGGCTTCATAGATGACTGCGCAGTCTTCCAAGCAAGTTGCTTCTGCTAGATTAAGAACTCACGGTAATGTGTTGCATCTGGAGTTCAGTCTTTCCTTGGGTGTCCAGTAGAAGCAAGTATTCTCTTCTTGAATCTGGAATGTATTTATTTAGTGGAATGTAAACAGTTTGAGGTACATCCAGCAAGTAAGCAAGGGGTTTAGAGTTATCACTGAGGCTAGTCCAGTTGAATATCCTGCTCCCATATTCAGCACATCTTCAATGATCTAAATGAGAAGCTTTCTGATAACTAGGATGCTCAGAAGAATAACGCTTGCTCTGATCTAATGATGCTTTTTAGTCAATGTTACAACATTTGGTCACCCTCAACATACAGTCATAAAATAAAGCTGGTGTAAGGGAAATTTCAATTAATAAGTCTTTTATTTTGGTATAAATCTATACATCGAAAATATAGATGTTGATATAGATATAGATGCACCAGTGGTTGAAAGACAGTGGATTATGGCAGCCCACAAAGTACTATGTGTTGTTATACACGTCTTGTTGAAAGAGCACTTTGACATCCCCTTGGTTACTCTCTATAGGCTCTTTGTGTTTCATTTATTTCCAAGGTGAAGAATATAAGTTTTAGAATTTACAGACGGGTTTTTGCTTCCACCATGAAAAAATCCTGCAGATGTCCTTGAATCTTTATACTTCCACTAAGATGGTGGTATATTTAGATTAGGAAGTGAATGCAGATTCATTTATTATTAGTTATGAGTTCATAGGGCTTCAAGAAATCTTTTCTTAATTGCTGCAGGTTGACTCATCAAAATTCTGCATGTGGTTTCCTTCACCTGCAGCGACACACGACAAATTACTAATTTGTTTTACTTTTTTCCCTGTTATCCTCTGGAACAGTTACTCGGCACATTATCAGCTCTCGGTATAACATTTGGGGCCATCAATCTCCCTGCTGCCTGAATGGAGCATTTAATAATCTGTATCATATATACCCTCATTTTCTATTAAATATCCCAAACAAAAAAGAGCAATAAAGCAAACACTCCTAAACTTATACATCAACTTTAAACAGGAAAAACTCATAAAAGCTCTGCTGAGAAGCCACATATGTTTTGACCTTAATTTTGCACTCCAGAATGGCATATATTAAGTTTTGCCATGTATAACTACAAAAAATAACAGGCGTAAAAAAAAAATTAAAAATTTTGAGCCATATGTTATTTGGGAACCTTGCACAATTTTGTTTGAAATTTTTGTTCCATTCTGTTTAAATATAGACTGAGGCTCTCTCATTTTTTGTGGGAACACATAACAGTATTCATTTACATATTTTCTAGCCCTTCTGGTTGACCTTAAAACAGTACTGCACTACTGTGAGTTATGGGAGGAAAAATCAATGAGCCTTTACCAGACTCTGCCAAAAATTATACAGTTTTCTGTCAGATCAATGAGCACAGTTTGAGTTCTGTGCCTCTCCTTCAGACTTGAGTCCAGCTGCCCAATGCATATTGGAAATCGGGCTCAAATTCTTAATTCTAAATAGACATATTATTCCATTCTCTCAACCTGACTTCTCTCATACAATTCCTGCAAGAATAAAAGTGTGGTGGAGGGGGAGTAGAATCATATACAACATCTTTCATGTTAAAATGGATGCAGTTGTAAAGACAGGAACCAGAATGGTGTAAGGGTTTGAACATATGGCTCTGGAAACAAAACCATATTTCTTAAATTGTGAGACATCATTGATTGTAAGATGCACACTAATTTGAGTACCACCACCACCAAAAATACATAGGATACACCTGCAATTTTTAGATATGTTTATACACTGATACCTTGATTTAAGAGCTTAATTCATTCCATGATTGAATCTTAATCCAAAACGCTCTTATCTCAAAAAATCCCTTGAAATGCACTTAATCCAAAAAACCCTCCAAGTTTTTTGTTACATGTTTTAAAATAAGAAAATGTACTTTATAAATAACAAATAATGTATCAATGCACATTCACATGGAACAATAAAAAGGGAAGATCAACTTTAAAATGGTAGAAGCACAAAGCTGTGGCAAGGAAGCACATTGGTGGCAACAAAATGTGTGTTGGCCAGTGTAACAGCATGGTAAAACCTGCACATTCACATGGAACAATAAAAAAGAGAAAGATTAACTTTAAAATGGCTAGCACTTAACTTAAAATGCTGCTCTTATGTCAAAGCTGAGCAACAGCTTTTAACTAAAATGTTCTTAAGTTGGGACACTCTTAAGTAGAAGTTCCACTATAAAGGGGAAAAAGTGTGTCTTATAATTGAAAAAATACAGTACTGTAATTTAATTCCCTGCTCAGCTATGAAACCTGTGAAGTGTTCTTGTGCAAGTCACGCTGTGTCATCCTCAGAAAATCCAATCATAGCCTTAAGTCAAAGATGACTTGAAGACACATAACAACAACATTTGTAAAGGCAGATAGTCATCTTTATAAAAGAGCAAGCCACATTCTCTCAGTCTCAAGAGAAGGCAATAGTGCCCTCCCCCCTTGAACAAATTGTGCCATGCAAATTCCAGGATTTTAGGGCCACCATAAGTTGGGAATTACCTGAAAACCCACAGCAACAAGTCATAGCAAGGGCCACACCACCTCATTTTGCCTTTCTCTATAGTTCTGAAGGGCCTCAGTGTGCCATTGTGCCTACCATTTTGAGTTACTGGAAGTGTTACAGCACTGCTACTTGCTTTGGGGGCTTTTCCAAACAACCCTGAAATAGCCCTTGAAAGTATTTTGAACGGTTTTTAAAGAATGGAAGTGTTAGATATTTGCTTTTGGGGGAAGGGGGTTCCCTAAGGCTCTTGGAGCTTTTGTCCAGATACTTCCCACCCTGTTTTACAAGAATGGATGTATTCCAATGTCTCCAGTCTGTTCAGGCATTTGGGTGAATAAACATAAGATTAAAAATGGGGAAAGGGAAGTGAGCATGCATGGATTGGAAAGCATGCCTATTAAGCACCTAGAAGCAAGTTGGACATTCACAAGTTGCACAGACTCTGTAACTTCATTAGACTGGATATGGTTACAAAACTCTGTGAATAGAAATCCACCCACATCAACAGTCTATATCAGCCTTCTTAAATCCTCGTTGGAGACCAGATAGGGAAAGGGAGATGGTTAGGGAGGACACATACTAGTCGCTGTTATTGTTAGGTTTCTGCCAGCAACATTTTAAAGACTTAGTTTTTAAATTTGGAATGGGTTTTGTTTTATATTGGAATGTGTTTTTAAAGGTTGTATGTTATTGTTGTCATGGCCTATGGCTAGTGCAATAAACTTCATTCATATCAGCCTTCTCAACCTGATGTTCTCCAGATGTATAGTACTAACTGGGTTAGAGATGCTTGCAAATGTATCTTTTGTTTTTGTTATTATTTCTAGTTGGGAAATTTAACAAATTGTAACCTAAAACATGATGTTTTTCAGCCCTTGATAAGAATTGTGGTCCACTGTATCTGGAGGTCATGTGACTGGAGTAGACTGCCGTATGCTGGTTCTTTTTTGGAAAGTTGTGCTGGTTTGGAAAATAAGTATGTTTTAAATACACTGTGACCAGTGGGTCAAGTTCAGGATCATGAATGGTTCCAGTCTGCTATCAGCTCCTTCTGTAGACCAGCCAGGCTGAGTAGCATCTGGAGTAACAGATGGACTGCAATAGGTTTACAAGACAATAATTGCATCAAGGCTGCCAGCTGGTGCTCCATGAATACTTTGTAATGGGGGCAACTCCAAAAGGACATTTGTTTTCCCTTTCATCTTCAAATAAGATGCTGCCATGAGCATTAGCAGAAGCCAAATGGGGAAAAGGCAACATGGTCTAATATTAGCTGTTATTCCCAAAGCATATAATATGCAGAAAACCATGCCTGGCTTCCTATTAGTGACATATTTGGGCTCAACTTAGTTATGCATGTATACATAACTTTTGGGAGCACAGAAGGCTGAGGAATTCAGTATTTTCATTTCACTCTTAAACTTTTGAGTCATTTCATATTCTGTTAGCTAGTTACTGACTCTTCTGCATGGCCAGAGAAGGAGAAGGAGGACAATACGCAGCCAGGATGAAAAGAACATCTCCTGAATCTCCCAAGGCACCACCATTGAAGAAGGCTATTGACAAGCTGGAATGTGTCCCAAGGAGGGCAACCAAAAAGGCAAAAAGTCTGGAAACCTTGCCCTGTGAAGAGTGGCTTAAGGAGCTGAGTGTGTTTAGTCTGGAGAGAAGAAGGTTAAGAGGCGACACAATAGCTATTTTTAAATATTAGAAAGGATATCATATTAAGGAGGGAGCAAGATTGTTTTCTGCTGCTCTAGAGATTAGGACATGAAGCGATGCAAGAAATGAGATTCCACCTGAATATTAGGAAGAATGTCCTGATGGTAAGAGCTGTTCAGCAATAGGATATGCTGCCTTGGAGTATGGTGGAGAACCTTCTGTGGAGGTTTTTAACAGAGACTGGATGGTCATTTCTTAGCAGTGCCTTGATTGGGTGTTCCTGCATGGCAAAGCATTGGACAGGATGGCCCTTGAGGTCTTCCAAATGTATAATTCTATAATTCTGGTTTCTAGGATGTAACCAGAGACTGATATAAATCGAAGATAAAAGCCAATAGCAAAAAGGTCCACAACATACCACAACTATTTTGGGTGAAACCTTTTAATCCGAAAGGATTTCTTGCAGAAAACCACCTCATTTCTTTGGTTCTCCTGATTTAAGTTCCAGCATAGATAATCTGTTCCTGAAGCCAATTGCATGAAAAGAGCCAGGTGGTTACCTGCCTCTGATTCACCTTCCTCTGGCTGCTGAATAGCCTAGAGGGGAGCATCATTCCTGGAGGCTAGTAGGTCACATGTTGGGAAGGGGGATCAGACATAACAAGGCCTGGGGAAATGTTATGATCTACCAGTGTGATGCAAGATCTTCAGCAAATGTGATGGACTAGGGGTGCTAGGGGTGCCTTTACACTGTAGAATTAATCCTTTCGCTGCCATTTTAACTGCTATGACTCAATACTATAGAATCATAGAGTACATAGAAATGTAGCCTACAATAGCTAGTAGTAATTGGTGACTGACCCT